ACTCCGGTTTCCCAAAAAGTAAAAGGTTACAGGTCGAACTAAATGGTTTGTTGGCTGGTTTGTGGTAAATCCCGCATTTGTCGGAAATGGCAAACCGGAAGTCAAAGAGGATTGTGGAAACAGCCGAGTGTGGACTCAGCCCTTACACTCTCTTGAAGAATTATGGAAGCACATAGTTATAGTTTGTCGACAATGATGGATTTGCATATGAGTTGGTTTCAACAAACATGGAAGCTGCACAGTGACTGGAACAATTTGCCAGATCAGTTCACAAAGTGGGCTGGGGCCTTGGGCTCCGAACCCCTACAAAAAGGCGGTTCGAGACAGTACTTGAACAGGAGCAATCTCATGGGCAGCCCACTACTTTGTGGGACAGCCTCGGCAATCTCCAGGTCAATTACGCTGTGCCTGATGCCCATCTTGCATAAGGGTTGTACTTTTTAGTTAAGTGTGGACCGCAGTAAATGGTTGCGATAAACGGGTCGATAATTACAATCAGTATTGTCAGTGTGTGATTGGGCGTTCAAGTGAGCCTGAGCAATTCTTCGCGTTTCAAAAGGCAGACAATCCTCCAGGTGGGTATCGATCCCGAGGGTATGAGTGCCGGGCAGATCCTTCAGCCGCTTGGCCGCAGCTTGTCCGTGTGAAGAGCATGCGGGGGGTTTAGTAAGTAAAGTAAAGAGCCCAAAATTAGATTAGTTTCCTCGGGGTTCCCCTTTGAACACGTGTGTGTCAAAGTATGGGACCCCTTTAGCATGGTGTTATAGGGAAAGTGAAAGGAAACTGCCATGCAAAGGTGGTTCTCTGTTTTGGGAAACACCCGTTTGAGCGGGGGTCACTATGCACCCGTTACAGCAATCTCGCTGAAAGGGGGTAACACGAGCGATTCCACCCATGAAGGTCTCTTTGTCTAGGCTTGTTGCTGAAACGGGCTCAAACTTCAAGCACCAGGGGCCTTCGGACCTCTGAGTATGTGGACCAGTCTGCATGTGGTGTAGGTCTGGGAGCGGGGCAAGATAACAAAATCCATGTGGGCCGGGTGTTGCCCACCTAATAGGCTCCTTGTTGGGATGCTAGCAGAGGCAAACTTCTCAGCCACCCTAAAGATAAAAACTAGACTCCGCGTGTCCCGGAAAGCGTTTGTCGAAAAGAAACCCATTTGCAGCCGAGTCTCCTTTGGATGATTTTTTCCGTTCGCGGCAGTGTAACCGCTATTGATCTCGCAGCAAAATCCGGTCCACGACGCCGAGGACGCTGTACGCGGCGAGCTGAGCTTGCCATGGTTGGCCGAGCGATGTGGTTCTCTGCTTGGGAGCGATGTGTTTATTTGTTTATACCCCCGTAGGGGTGGTTTCAAGACGTGAGCTAAACAGAAGCCATCAAGGGCGCCCCTAATTGTGAGTGACATACCTGCAAAAGGTTAGTGCCTTTGTTGATTCCGCGTTCCTCTGTTTGGTAAAAAGAACATGCTGCATACCAAGGGGGCCTTGAGTGCAAAAGGCGGAACAACCAGAGAGCCCACCACACATTTCAAAGTGGCTTGTCAGTCATGCGTGAATGCGTCAAAGTCAAGCGTGACAACTGGAATTGGCAGAGTCACCAGATAGCTCTCAAAGTGTGCGGGGCATCACAAGGTGGGCTTCTAGCCACAGCAGAGTATGCAGTTTGGGTGTTTTCACATGGGAGTTGATCAAAAAGTCTGTGATTTGTGGGAGGACCATTGGGGGAAACCACACAAAAAGTGATATTTCCCACTGAATGGGAAAAGCTACCCACAAACATTTGGGGCCAAGGAATATTTTTCAACCTCCACATTTGCGTGTGCGCTTAGGCTGCAGCTGTATGGTGGTGGGCCAGGGAGTTGAGCGACAATTCCCAGTGAGCAACCTGAGGCGAGAGATAGCAGCACCACGTACCAGCGGATGAACAAGGAGGCGCTTGTTTGTACTTTGTCTTACGTACAGCAGTGTCTCAATTCCGAACTCAATGGCAAGGGGCAATTTGTGTGAGAATGCAAATTCGGCCGCTGTTGCCTTTGCTTTTGTACATTAATGAAGTAGCTTGTTTTCTGCAGTTCACTTAATGACCAAACTTGTGTGTTTCCCGAAAAAAGGGTTTCCATTTTTGGGTGTCTACAAGCAGAAACATTGAACGGCACATATTGGAGCGGTCCCTATTTCAAGAAGCACCTATGTGCATGCTCCCCGGAAGCCTATAGGGACCTCTTGAAGAGACATGTTTCCAACTCTTGCGAGCACCGGGGCAGCAAGAGCTGCTGGTTCACTTGAGACGGATGCAAGCTGGATGAACCTTTCCCGCTTCTATTATTCCGGTTCTGGTTTATTGGCACTGGACATCAGCCATAGGTGACCTGTCACAGGGCGCACGTCCAAACCGCTCTGCTCTGAAACCGAACTGTGCCATGATGCTAACCCCGGGCCCATCACGCATGGATACGCCTCGGGTAAGTCTAGGAAGCTTCTGGCAAAGGCTAGGAACCCCATAAGGTTAGGACATCAGGACCCCGAGTTTGATACACCCAACCTTTTCTGAGCGATGGCGTTCAGCGCTATTCCTCGTTCAGCGTTATTGAGGCAATGACAATCCTTCGCAGTTTGGACTTGGGCGTCTGTTTCATGTCTGTTTCACGTGCGTTGGATGCAGAGAAGCTGGGCAGTCCTTGCAGTTGTGATTGATCGTTTGCACTTTGCGACAAGGAGGGTTTGCATTATAGGCTTTAGCAGTGAGGCTTCACGAACTGCGAGGACATCCTAGCTATACTCAACGACGTGCCCAATATCCAAGAACTATTCACCAACGGTTCCCTGCTTCCCAGCCGAAATCAACATGGCCGCTACCGGAAGGATTAAGCCTTTTTAAGCAAGCTGACCTACTCCAAGCTTCTCCACATCCAGGCCCAGAAGAAGCTGCGCGAGCAGGTGACAACGCCCCTGTGCATGATGACCGCTGCGGCCTCAGCTTTTGGCCACAGCTACGGCCCCTGCAATAGCAACAAGCCGCAGGCACGTCTCTTAGGACGACCTGCCTCGATCGCATATGTGCCTTTGCAATCTTTCCTATTCGGTTGTTGGTCATTTTCTTTTGTACAGTGTTGCTGGGGACCACCTATGATTCATGAAAGGCAGCGCCGGGTTTGGGCCGCGCGTTTCAGCAATTCCGTGAAGACCTCTGACCCCGGGCAGCCTGCAAGGTGTGCTTTTCGATGGTTGAGCTGTGAACACGTTATGGAACCATAAGTTGTAGAAGGTGCCACCACTTGGCAACAAACCTGTGCGTGTAGGGCTTTTTTGCTGGGTGGGGTGGCCTAGCTTTGGCGTAACCAGCCCAGGGCTTATCTAAATGACTGGAGAGGGATGGAGAGGAATCAACCGCCTACCTCTTGAGATCTGCAGTTGGTTAATCCTTTAGACTAGTGACAAAGAGATGCCCCACATTTCGCATGCTGGGTTCTTCCTTTGATTGACGCTTGAAGTATTGCCAGACCAGGCTGATCTGCTTTGCCAATTACATCCATTGACGAAGCACACGTTGCGGAATTACGGTGAGTTGTGGGATGGTTTCCACTTCTGTGACCTGGGTTTACCAGTGGTTTGTGAAAAACGTTGGGTCCCATTGAAGAAATAATACAGTTTCGTGGTCAATTGGTCAGCACCCGGGCGCGTTGAACAGACAGATAATAGTAGCCCTGCCTCTTCCCAGGTTCAAATGACTCGAAATTCAGGAGCCATTTTGACACTGCCTCATCGAAGCGTTTCTCTTTTACCTGACCTTTAGCATCACCAAATTTGGCCGCCGACATTCCGTTCGAGCTTTGGGCAGGAGGGATGTTCAGGGCGTCCTTTCCCTGTTAGAAAGTTGTCCCTTTGTCTTTTTCCATGGCAACTGGTACGCCTTGACACTGTTCTTTTACACGCCGTGTTGACATGCATTAACACGCAGAGGTTTGACCTGCCGAAGTGTCTTGCGTGGCCAGCAAGCCGGATGAGAAAAATATGTAGGCCCCCCCTTGGACGATGAAACATGGCGGCTTCAGCGGCTTGCCAAACACGCTGTTGCAAAACAGGAACAATATCAGCTCGGCGCGAGCAAAAAGGCATGGCCCAACAAAGACATTGGAATCTAAACATGTTTGCGTTTTGTGTGTTAAGCTTATTTTCAGCTTTCTTTTGGTCTCTGAGCACCCTCAGCCTTGCACGTCGCGGGTGAGACCATCGCCCGAGGTCCTGCGCGACAAGGCGCTGCACCAGGTGAAGGCAGCCAGAGAGAAGCCGGCACGGGTCTGAGTCGCTGAGTGGGTGGTGTATTCATGGGCCTTCACTGTGCAAGATTTGTGCACCCACAGTAGTACTTGTGAACCTCTAAAGAATTGGCAATCAGGCTGCTTGAAAGGAAATCAGCCAATCGGAACACCTCTAGGATATATGGAATTTCTAGGGGCCGGGGCCCAGCAGGGGCCGGGGCCGAGGGCCGGGTAACCGGCATTGGAACGAGGCTAGTATCCAGATCTTGTCAGACAGTGTCGGGCGCATACTGTAGGCGTGCGTGACGAACAAAGTCACACAGGGATCTCTGAAAGACCCGGGAAACGCATCGGCCAAGTATTGTGAAGTTCCTTGACCGACACAGAAGAACAGCAGGGTATGAATATCATACAAAGCACACTGCCATTTTCCGTCAATTCTCAGGACAGAGTAATTGTTGTTGGTTGCTAATGTGTCAGCTGGTTTGGTTTTAATCTCGATTGCAGAAGTACTTTGGGTTTAGGCCTACAACTCAGCTCTTCACAAGCGTACTATAGTTGCATCATACTTTTGTTTTGGGGAGACTCTTGGCTTGCATTTTGTGGATACTTTGCCTTCTTGATGCCGTTGATGCGGACGTGACAAACATTTCGTGCCGGCCCAGTACGTCGCAGTTGAGCAAGGCGCACGCAGCACTGGAGCCACGGCTTGTTGCTTTATACTTTTCACCTTGCCGCCATGACTCGGCCAGTGCATGTTTGCTTGGTGGTGCTGCTGGCCTGGCAGTTCAGATTTGTGTTCCAGCGGTCCTTTGTAACCTTTCAGGGAGTTCGCCAACCCCAAGGGTCTGTGGCGCGGACAACGCGGCGGGTGCGCGAGAGGCGCCAGGCGAGCCCTCGGCCCAGACCGAAGCAGGCAGACAGCTACACACCAGCTAAGGTGATCACGAGCCGGGTCAAGACCGCGGCCTCGGCTCCCGCCATTTTGGCGGTCATGCAGTCTGAGAGGGAGAACCCAAATATGGACTTGATTGCAGTTGCTGCCGCTTGGTGCCAGCTCGCAAGGCTCAAACAAGGCATCGATGCTGAGGTGACCAAATCTCAATCCTTTGCGATGTTTGTGATCCAGACACGTTCAACGTTGCAGAGACCAGAGACGCTTGAAGCGCAGGCAGTGTCAAACATACTGTGGTCCGCCGCAAGGCTTCGGAGCAGCACTTCCTCTCAGCTTAAAGCCCTGTGGATCAGCTTGGCTCGCGCCGTAAAAGCGACTGCGAGACAGATGATCGCCCAAGGAGTTGCTAATTCAATTTGGGCGGTGGCGACGCTTGCCACAACGAACACCGACTCCGAAGCTTTGCTTACTGGACTGCCCGCGTTGGCAAAGAGGCTGCCAGCAGTGATATCAGAGATGACAAGGCAAGCATTTTCAAACGTGATTTGGGCCACCGGGCAGCTTTCGGCGGACCATAGCCATGCCGCCTTGTCGCAAGATTTGCGCAAGGTGCTTCCCGTGGTGGTGACCCAAGCGCGCGTGGAACTGCCTTCAGCCACGCCGCAGGCGCTTGCAAACTCTTGTTGGGGGCTGGCGCTGAGTGACACTCACGATGCCGCTTTTCTTCAAGCAGTGGCAGAAAGGGTGGCAAGTGAAGCTGCTGGGTGGCAATCAAAACTGGCTGAGCTTACTCTGCCATCCGTGCTTTGTTCTTTTGCTAGGCTTAAGGCTGTGGGACATGATGACATGCTTGACGTCGCAGCCAACAACCTCTCACTCATGATTGGCGAAATGAACGACTGGGGCCTTTGCGCCACACTGTGGTCGTATCAGCAGCTGGACCGCGGCGAGTTCCTCACCTTTCAGCGGCGCCTGGAAGCAGAGGTGGTCCGGCGCCAGCTTTTGACTGAGGATGTGGAGCGCAGCCGCATGGGACCGGAGGTTTGGCAGATGGATGGCGGGCAGTCCAAGCGCACGTGAAGCTGGTGAAAGACAAACGCACGTGAAGTATTCATGTTTTTTAAGAGACCCTCCTGTCCACCAACGTGGCATCCACCAGATGGTCTCTTTTAAGGGAACATAGTCTTCCAGGACCCAGATTCCAGGTTAGTGGACGGGAGGGTAGTTACAGTTCAGTTGTGCCGCTTCTGTAGAAGATGTTATGTAACTCGCTTCCAAGCGCTTGCAAATGAATCTAGCTGGAGGTGTGGAACCAGCGCACCCAGCCCCGCCGAGTGCAGGGGTACAAGCCACTCCTCGCACCCGGGGCTGCCGAGTGCCCCTTTCAAGCCTTCGGATGGCTTACCGAACAAAGGTGCGCTGCGCACACGCGCTGATGTGGCGAGAACAAAGGTAGCGCTCACTGCTTAACAAAGCCAGTGTCAAAGCTTCCTTGGAAAAGGCTCACAACTGGAAAGAAGATTGTGTGTGTGTCTGATGTTTTGCGATGTCTCTTGCGTGAAATCAGCGCTCACTGGGGGGCTTTTGTATTGAGGGGCTTCTTATTTCGGGAATCAGGCCGTATTGGGTCCTGGGCAGAAAACCGTAGATTTGAATATTTTGGTTTGACCTTTAAGAGTATTTTGTGTCGCTCTCCAAAATTGGCAGGCGTATGTCAACCACCCTTGTTTGCAAAAGTGTGTGACTCAGGTCTGCAGAGCTGTTCATAAGAATGCACCGGATTCGTTGTGCTTTTTGAACCCAAAGACGATGAAGGAGAGCTTGCCTTGAATTTGGCATGATGTGGCGCTTCCAGAGCACACGGGTTGTGGCTCGACTGCTGGCGCAGCAAGCTTGATATCCATAGAAAATGACCTGAAGTATCTTTGAGTTGATTTACTTCCACTACACAATACAACATGTTAAACAACAGCAAATTTCTGACCTCAATCAATCATGAACAAACAAAGGAAGGCCAGAAGGGGATGGTACCACAATTGGCTGCTTTTCTTTGAGCTTGAGGATGCCATGTGTCCTAAAACTGAAAAGTTCCCTTAAACATCATCCAGCCGGGTGCACTTGTCTGGGCATGTCTCCAAATCGAGGGAGTCCTTTGTTTGGATGCGGACGGGTTTTCGAAAGCAAAAGTAAGGCAACGTACCTGAAAGGACACTGAACACTGATGAGCACAAGCTTAAGGCCGAGCTCGTGCACGAGTGCCTGGACCGATGGGAGATTGACACGCTGGCCGAGGCGTGGCGTCAGTGGCTTCTTTGGCTGCCGCCTGTAAAAGCACGGAGTTCTGGGTAATTGTTTGACAAACCCTCGCCCATTGGTCGCAACAAACATCGGGTGTGTCCTCTACGCAGGCAGCCCCACATGTCTGTTGAAGTGAGAGTCCTTTGGGGGGAGGCGAGGCAAGCTTAGAAAATTAGTGCTTCGGGAGCAAAAGAGCCCTCATCAGGGGAGTTGTTTGGCAACAGTACTTGTTGTTTGAACCACCATGTTGCACTTTGTTTGAACTGGAATTAGCTTGGCATGTGCGGTCCTCAATCAGAAAATCAGGCAGACAGGTCAACCCTTTCCCTTCACTCATCCAAGAGGGAGTTGCCGACCGTCGATCTCACACATCTCCGGTCTCCTGCTATTTCTCTAACCCTCCACTGACCTTGTGCTTGACCATATGCAAGCACACCAAACCAAGTTTGGGCAGATCCCCTCCATTGACCTTGTGGTTGACCATATCCAAGCACACCGTACCAAGTTTGGGCTGATCCCGATTCTACACCAAGTCTCAATCAACTCAACGGGGAGCCGTTGATTGATCGCATCTGCTAGGGATGCTTGGAGGCAGTATGGTTCACCTTTAAAGTGGGAAACAGGTTGCGGACCACAGTAAGCCATGCCGAAGGTTCCACTTGGGTCCCCGCACAAGTCAAAAAAAGGGGCGTGCACCCGCGTGGGACACTTGCCGCCTGAAGATATACCTCAAAACTTCTTAGCTTTTTCCGGTTTGGTTTTAGGCGGCAATGGACACTGGACACATCCATTACACTGACTAGTGATGGCTAGTGTGTTTGCCCATACTTGCAAATGTCCCAAAACAGGAATTGGACCTCTGAAAATGGTCGATTCATCGTGGGCTCCCCTTTAAAGACCCAAGAAGGGATGGGACTACCGGCTCCAGGTGTGCCGGAGCTTGAAATACTTCGATGAGGCGCATCCGGGAAACGACGACGGGGGGAGCTGCGTGCAATCGGAGTCTCAACTTGTGTTGCAGCCCCAACTGCCCCACTGCAATTACTGCAATTGTGTAGGCGGGGCCAAGCAGCCGATTTGGGGGAATTCCCAAAGGTTTAGGCGAAGCAACAAGCAATATGGCGTTTTTGCATGTGCTGGCTGAATTATGTGTCGTTGTTCCACTGGTTATTTGCACAATGTTGAGCGATCTCTTTTGCTTAGGCTTATTCCGGTTCATACATCGTGTAACTTAGGCAGCTGCAATTCTCACCTGCAATTCTCACCTTGGACTCTGGTTCCTGCCCATGCAGATTTCAAGCACTGGCTTCAAGGAAAACATGATAGAACCCTTGGTAGGCGGGTCTGGGAGTCCAATGGAGACCGGTTGTGCCGCCTTGGACTACCCCTACAATGCCATGCTCTTCGGGTGTCTGGAAATGGGATACAGAACACCCAAACCGGGAAGCAGGTTATTTCTCGAACCGCCGGCCAGGAGGCCGCTGGTCAGGCCTCCACTTACCTCCGCTGCTATGGTGGGAGGCCGGCCGGGTTGTCTCTAGAGTTCCCATCAAATAACTCGTCTCTGTGGTTTCCCTTTAACTCAGCACCAAAAAGGGGACCCTCAAAGAAGACACGCCCCAAATGGTTGTACTCACCATCAAACTTTGGGGTTTTCCTCTGGGCTTCGCTCTAAGCCAAGCTGAAAAGGGTACCCACCAGAGTGGAGCTAAACCTGATCTGAAAAGCAATAGTATGAGGTGGGGGGGTGGGGGTTGAATTGAAAATCCCTGCCTGAATGAGTTTCCACCTCGCGCTTGAGGAGTGAAGTGATTCGAGTCCATGCGAAACAAGACTTCCCGCAAGAGTATTTACTTCTTTCACTTATCCCAGGCAAAAGTGGCATCCCTGAAAAAAATGGGCAGGGGTTAGTTTGTCCAAGGCAGCATAGACGGCTTCATTTGGGGCCATGATGGGCCACGTGAAGAAATTGTTTTGTGCAATGCTTCGTGACTGAAAGTGCAGCAGCTCTTGTGCGAGGTTTCCATTTTGGTCCAAGGGCAAGGCAGCTGGCTCAAACTCCTTCTGTTGCTCGTCCAGCTCAGATCCCATCTGCCAGAAGTGGCGTGAAGAATCCGCAGCGAACTGCGCATGTTTACACCCAAAAGGGAGATATCTGGTATGATTGGACATCACCAGGTGTGCTCAGCATGTCCCATGTCTTTTCTGCAATCTGAAATTGGCAAGCCTGCTTGAGCCACGAGGTGTGGCGCAATTGCAACTATCCGTCAGGGTTTTGAATTGGTTTGCTAGGCAGGGGCTTATGAGTTTCCCCGTATGCCCGGCGCTGTAGAATGTGAGTCATTGAACCAACAGGTTGCGAGACCGTTGATCTCTGGTGCATATGCAAAAGGAATCGGCTAAGAGTATGTACAAGAGGGGGGCGTCCTCTCTAGCTCAGAGGGTTCAAGGCACCCTATTCAAAATTGACGATGTGGAGTACTTGGACCCTCTGATTAGGGCTGCCTTCACCGATGCCGCTTGGCTTTGCAAGCAGCTCGAGCCCGCCAGACAGGCAATATCTGGAGACTTACAAGAGGAAGCCTTTCGTTCGGCCGCCCACCGCTTAGGCCGGAACGCTCGGCAGGTCTTCCCATTCCCAAAGCAGACCAAATGAGAGCGTTTGGTTTGAAGAAGCCCGTGTTCAATTTACTGTCTCAGGGAGGTGTTGGTGGGATGGATTCCTTGATGGACGCCGGGTTCGGGGTGGGTGGCTTGTTTTGGCCGTGCCGTGGTCGAGATCCGTGACGGTGGCCCTGGGTGTGGCTTCTCTTTGGACCTGTTTGGAAATTCAACAGGCAGAGTGCTTTCTGAACCAGCGCGTCGGTCGCATTTGGGAATCACTATCACTGGCTTCAAGTGACTATTTGGGGCTATCAAGGATCCATTTTTACCACGGCTATGACCGGCCAAGGAGATGTTTTCAGGGGCCAATGATGGCGAAGCTTCCTGCTAGTCAGCTCCGAAAGAGTTCTAGGCCAATTAAGCAGTCTTCAAGGAACTGAGACGCCCCCCCCCCCCCCGAAACGAGCGGCACTCTTTTTTGTTTCCCTTCCGAACCAACAGCCAAAACGGCTACCATGCAAGAAAGACACCGTCCATGTCTCAGCACTGCTTGCCAGTGTCCCCCATGCCCCAAAAGTGCCGGCCAGATTTCACCCCGAACAGGGTAGTACAGCAGAAGGTCGGGCTACACGTTGGTTGAGGCGAGGACAGTGACATGCCCTCGACACGGATTGAACACGAAAGGTTGGCTAAAGGTAGCTGAACGGCAACTTCAGAATTGGGCTGAAGATGAGAACTAACGGTAGTTGCGAGACACAAAATGGGTGAAAGGCAAACTGCAATTGCTTACGGAGGCGGAGATGATGTCAATTCCAGGGTGGACATTCTTTGGCTCAGGGCCACAAGGGCTTGAGTGTTTGAGAACTGCGGGAAAGTCTCGCAACCATCCTGCTGTGGGGTCACTTGAATTGCAGAAACCACATGGGTATCCTGGAAACAGGAAGCATCCACCTGCGCCAGGTTCCAATCTTCCGACGAATCAAATGAGGCTGAGGGGCCAAATGCTCGCAGTGTCGTCCAAGGCCAGAGACTGAGGGCCAGATGTTTACACGTCACTTGGGGTTGGGACAGTTCCAGAACAGTCCTGTACTTCAGGGTGAAAGATAGCACAATCCCCATAAGTGGAAAAGTAAAGGAACTGCACCATAGAAAACATTGGGCCATCCACTCTACAAGATTCTACAAGCATACTCGCAGCCCATCAGATTTGCCATTTGCCGGCACCCGATGCGCGGATTTGCCGCAGGCAAAAGGCTCAGAAAAGGCCCCAAGGGCCGAGGACCTCGGATGGATCGCCCCCGGCGGCTTGCCCGATGGGGTGTGGTGCTTGCCGAAGCCGAGTCCACGCAACCCCCATGGCACCCCCTATGGCTGTGTCTGATTCCTCAAAGGGTAGGAACCTAGTTCAACCGAACATGTTGCCTTCGATCTGCTCTCATAGGTGTTGCAAGTGGGGCATGAAATGCGTTCCCTTTGTGGTGGTTTCCGAAAAGGGAATATGGGAAATATGTTTAGCAACCACTGCATGTGGAGTCAGTGATGTGCTTTTTGCTCAGGATTTGTGCGACCGGTGTGATTGTTGTTCTCTGGTTTCCAGAGGGGTTGAAATATGCTTTGATTTAAGCGCACCGCTGACATGTGAAAGGCTCAGAGGCAAAAACCACAAGGCATGTATTGGAGGTCAACTCTTGAGCGAATTGCACAAAAGAATCGCCTCGCAAAGTCAGTGGTAGAATGAGCCTCCGTCAGAAACACAGACGCCATGACTTCCTCGCGCGGGGACGGTGCCCCTTGAATGAGGAGGCTCATCCGCAACCCAAGTGTCCAGTGGCACCGATTTCCTTTGTGTTTTTTTACGGGCGTCCGTTCACGACAAAATGGCCATAGGCAAAGTGAGGGAATCAACAGCACCCATGCCGGCCCTTTCCTTGACCCAAGGCAACGTGAAAGGATCCATCTGAGGTTTGTGGTGTCATTGCCGGAAGCGATTTCCGCTTTCGCAGCGGCGTCTGCCCAAGAAGGGCAGCGTGCGGTCGAGAGATTCGCAGGGAAAAGGCAGCGGGGATGGCTGGGATGGATAGCCTGGGGTTGGGGATGCAAAGTCTTTCCACAGCCACTCAACAGCTCTGCTGGTTCTCTCTTTTTGTCCGCGTCATACGTCTCTTTCAAATTAAGCGTCCTGTGAAATGCAACCGGATCGCAAGCATCCTTCATATCATTGTTCTGTTTTGTGAAGGTATGCATCTCTATATGGTTAGATACATGAACACATCACAGTGGCCAGCAGAGCGCGATGTTACTTGTTGTTCACTGAACGAAAGCCAGTGAACTCCGGTCATCTCTCGGGTCCGCTGCCGTGACTGCCCAGAACTCGGGGAGCAAATTCCTGAGGTGGAGGCGGGCGAGCTTCTGGGCGATGCCCGCATCTGACCCACAGGAAATTGGCATTCGAAACGCCAGCATGGTTCTCTAAACGTTTGCAAGCAGGGAGCAAGGAGCAAGGCAGCTAGTTTCAATCGTTTGTGGCAGGTTCACTTTCTTTGGGAAACCGCAGGGACGGCTTCCGTCAGCCCGGGTTCCCTCGAAAAGCCCTGAGGTCATGGTGAAGATTCTCGCCAACGGCGAGATTGTGCCGGACAACGACCCGCGGGCACAGGTGCGAGCGAGTGCACGCAATTCGATTTTCCATGGTCGCACGTGTGTTTTTCGCGTCCAAAACGGTGCCGCCAAGTAAGACAGTTGTGCGTGAGGCACTTACTGGGCATTCGCGCTCCAATATTGCTATGCCACGCAAACTACAGCCGCCAGAATGTCCATCCTGCGAGGTAGGAGAACACGTCGAGTTGGGCTTAGGAGCTGCACCGCTGAAGCCATATCGGTGCCCCAGCCAGATTTGAAAGGCACCGAGATTCTCTTCAAGTTTCTTGAACCTTAGACGGAAGACACTGGAAGGCGATGTCCAGTTGGCTTCAATTGGAATGCACGCTCATATTAATGGAGCATGTGAATAAACGATACAAGCAAGGTGAGCGCCACAATGCATCTTTGTGACTTCGATGTTGGGTCATGTTGGGCGGCATTATATAAAGCTACATATGGAGGCGCTGCCGCTGTTTGCTCCAACCCCCTTGCCGCCCTTTTCGTGCAGGGCGCAACCCAGCGGCGGCCGGAGCGACCGGCGGCCAAAGAGCAGGCAGGGTGTATGGGCATGATTGAGCGCGGCACACAGAGAAGCTTTGCTTGCTTGGGTGAGGATTACTCAACTCCCATAAATCTTCATTTTACCCAAATAGCAGACAGCAGGACCCCTATTTAGCACCCGAATGTGATTTGCCACATAAGTGCCTCCAAAGGAAAGCTTGACACGGTCCTCCAGCTGGAGGATTGTCCTTGCTGAGAGAGAATCAACCCTGATTCTATAGCAGGTTCAGAAGCATGTTTAGTACGGCGAGTGATGTTACATACCACTAGATGCCTGCTCAATCAATATTGCCGGCAAGCGATTTGGTGTTTAGAACACGCTTCTTTGGCTATCGTTTGGCCTGGCAGATTTCAGAGTTTCAAGCGCCAACTGTTCTTTTTGTGTGCTTGTAGAGTCCATTATCAAGCTGATACTGAACATGTTGAATCGGCTTTGCTGAACATATTGCCTTCGCAGATTCCGTTGACTGCCGGCCTCTTTAGCCAAGAAAGTGCGCAAGCCGCTGGCTACTCACAGCAAGCCAAAAGCATGAAGTTGGTGACTGCACGCCCGTTGACACTTGCGGCTTCGCAGTTTCTATTCATTCTAGGCAGAGTTCATCCTTCTCCTTCCAGATCGTTTGGGTAAGCATGAGTCAGCATATGCTTAGTTTGGTCGGGGTTTATGATAGCAAAAACTTCAATTGCTTCTCCCGAGCAATGTGTCAGAACAGCCAAAGGCTTGTGCACACATCAGCAGTAGTCCTGGCAAAGCGCACATATTTTACATCTATATAGTCGTAGCTTCACATTGGCATTACATCTCGGCATTTGCGTGCACCAGCCTGACAGTGCGGGCCGTTGAGCGCTTGCCGCACATCATGGAGAGATGCACGAGACTTGGATTTGCAAATTGTTGGTGCTTGTTCAAAGGACATTTGTCATGGGAAGGGATCCGCCAGTTTGCGACTGAGCCAGTTGCAACGAGCACACACTCGTGCAGTAAGTTGGACTTGCAACCTTGCAACTAGAACTTAAGGCTTGCTCATTTGTTGCACACTTTTTTTGTTGCAAACCTTGTTTTTGTGGCATACAACCGCTCGCAGCTCACGGGATGCCTACGCGACACGGAGCCATTGCTCAGGCCTTGTCAAAAAGATCTGTGCTAGTTCTTTCGAGAGTCCTATTCGTGCGATGTTTTGCTGGAGTTTGCTGCTGAAAGGTTTGGTCAACAGAGGCAATGCTTGGATATCCGGCCCAGTCAGCAGGTGGGTAGCTAACCCTCGTTACAACCAAGTTGCAAGAGGCTTAACTGCACAGGTGGAACTAAGGAGTGGCTTTTAATGATGGTCTAGCCACTAAGCAAGAGTGTGCTGGGCCAGATAGCAGCCTCACTGGGATTGTACTCGACCTGAGGATAGTTTCTCCATGATCCTTACTTCAGATCGATCAGCTCTTTCATTGCGGTGCAATCAGGGAGATGTAATAGAGTACATGGGTTTGTCTTAAAATAGGGCAGCCACAAAATGCTTCAATATTGGTTGCTCTTTAAAACAGGCCCAACATGGGTACTTTAAAGCATGACACGCAAGGCCTCGCTGCATGGCTCTCGCCTCTCGTATCAATCCCTGACCGTAGGGTTTTTTTTCCGGGTCCGGACCCACCCCTTGTCCTGCCCGCGAAAACTGCACAGCAAACAAAAGGCGCCCAATTTCTAGCGCAGGCAACTTCTCTTCCGTGCCCCGAGTTGCAGTTCCGGCTTTCAAGGTTGGAGCCTTCATTGCTCATTGCTAAGGATGGCCCGGAGGTCAAGGAGCTTGAACACCAGGCGGGGCATGGAAGCAAGCGTGGCTCAAAGTGAACCAACTGCAGCTGGGCTTAATTTGGTAAAGACTAAGGAGCTGCGTGGGAAGCATGATTTGCCGGGCTTCCGTACTGTTGGGACATGCCAAACACAATAACCTTTAAGCGAGTAACACATCCTGAGCAAAGCAAGACTAACTTGGTTCTCCACCCAAGCATTCAGAATGCATGTTCACGCCATCTTTTCAATGAACATTTGTTGCAAGCACTTTAGTGGGGAACAAAAAGGGTCCGAACCTCTCAGGTGAAAGCCCACCAATTGTGATCGCTTGCGTTTAATTGGAAATGTCCATCTTTGAATTGCTTCGTTTGCTGGGTGTCCAACATATATTCTCCCCACCAACCACACGGGAGGGGACATTGTGATACTTTGCCAGACCCCATGGCTAATTACTGAAGTTGAGCGCCGTTTCCGCACTTTTGGCCCTTGGCCCAAGGCCTAGTTGCAACCAGTGGGTTCCGCCAGAGGAACATCCTTGGACACTGGGCAAGTAAGTCAATGTAGGGACACAAGGCTCTCACCAGCCAAGGCCAAGGCCTTCAAAAATCGGCGTCGTTCCTGTTTAGCAGATGGTTTCCTTCGCAAAATTCGCTGACTCGTAGCCTGCTCTATTCCTGAGACCGGCCACGTAGCACCTTGTTCCCCTGGATGGTGTTTGTCTCATATCGACCACACACCAATTCAAACCACTCAGGTTGCTCAGGGGCAGGGACTATTGGGAGGTAGGGGCTAGGTTGGAGGGCTGGACTCTGGATGCCTTTAACTCCAGGGCTTCATACATGCGACAGCAAGCAGGTTTCTAGGTGGAAGATTTGGAGCCGTTTGTTGGCGTTCTCATTTGTTGGAGGGATGGAGTAATGTCTCAAGGGAACTTTGTGTGGACATTCGACCTTTCACCATTCGAGTTCAAACCTTGAAGCTTGTCCCTTTCACCCACAAGCGCACTCTGCAATCTGCGCAGTACGGGGGTGTCAGGGCTTCTTACGTTTCCCTTTTGGGGTTGAATATAACCTTCGCCAACTCCAACTGGGTTCCCTGACTGGGTTTCCCTTTGGGAGGGAGAAATAACGGTGACCATTTGAAGAACAAACGCAATTTCCATTGGGTAGTCCTCCAATCGGTTGGTGGTAGTCACCGGGGCCAGGTCCGCTCGGTGGCGCGGGCGACGACCGCCAGACGCGCCGCACAGGCGGCGCGGCTGCTGAAGAGCTGTCGCCGCAGCCTGCTGCCGCTCGATGCTGTGCTTCCCTCCACCTGGGCTTGAAGGACAACCAATTTATTTTGTGGGACCCACGACTTGCCGTATATTTGGACAGCCACTTTTTTTTTGTTTCTGGGGGGGGGCTATTTGAAACACACTCAACTACACTCATATGAAGGTCATTTAGCAGACTCAAGGACTAACCCGCACCTCCAGTGGTGTCCCATCTTCCTCGGGTTCGTTTCTTCCTTGGCCACCAGAGCTCTGGGTCCGAACGTGGGAGACCTCGACACACTCAAGATAAATTTAGAGATCATTCCAGGTCTGCCAGTGGGGTCTTTCGCTAAGATAGGGACCATGAGCAAGGTAAACACACTCGTTTCGGTACAAATGGTCCCTACCTTTGCAGTTTCCACTAAGGATGCATGTTTGAAAACATGGCGCCCCCCTCAAATTTCTTGCCACCATGCCGTTCTTCCAATGCTTCCATTGGTGTTGGAGGAACCTTGGTCACCTGATACTCCTGATGTGCATATGAGCCTTACCATGAAACCTTGCCATAAATCCCCACTATGAACTCCTTAAATGAACCTCCGGTTATGCTTGATGTCGACCCTTTAGCTGGTTGAACTGCTTTGAATTGAACTGCTTGAGCCCGTCATTTTCCGATGGATTGGTCGCCCTAGTGCCAACCCTTGGCTTTTCGGTGCTCTAGCCTCAGCTCGGATGGGATGCATTCGAGGCGCCTGGCGCTGCAGGGCCTGGCACGCTGCATGGAGTTGGACGAGCGCCACTTCAGCGGCTCCATCAGCGCCCTGAGCCGATCCGCGCTCTGGCAGGAGAAGCCGAGCCGCCAACAATGTGCGGCCCCAAGCCCAAACTGGGTCAGATTGGGATGGAGCTGCGTTCAGTTTTAGTGTTTTGAAGGGGGGTGGTTCCTTTGACCTACACTTGGGGGGTGACTTTGTGGTAAAATCATGGTGTCAGGATGATCCGGGGCGGGAAAAGTTTGCACTTGGGCAAAGGAGCACAATTCCCTGCGCATGCCTTGAAGTGGGGAAAAAAAAACCTATTGCCAATAGTTGCAACACGTTGCCAAATGTTTTTGTTGCATGATGTATGCTTGACTTGATGATGCGAGGCTTCCTCCATCCCTCTCATTGGACAAATGATGCTTGCAACCCCTTGATGCGATTGTTCAACATGTCGTCGCATGTAACCTTTCCCCTATGACAAAAGCTCCGAAACTTGTTCCCACGGCCGTCGCCTTGCCCCCCCATTCAGACCAAAGACAAAGCGAACGTGCCGACGAAGCCTGGGGGCCCCTAGGAAACATGAAACATGGGGAGGTGTCAAAATTGTCTTTGTGGTGTCATTCGCTTCTAAAGGAGATCCAAAAAGATTGCCAACACCCAACAGCCAACACCCAACAGCCAACACCCAACAGCCAGCACCCAACAAAGAAGAGCTTGGGAGCCGTGAGCCATCGATACCAACTTGAAAATACTCATGAAATTCTTCCCTTGGATGGCACAGCATTGGGTCCGCGAGTGGCTTCCCAATGTGGATGGTGAGAAATCGGCTGGAGCCGGCCAGGATGCCCTGGGCGTCTTCTTCGATATGGGCAAGGCACAGCTTCGCCAGGAGAGATGGGGGCCCAATCTCTCCCAGTGGCCTGGTGCAGGGAATTCGGGTGCTGCACAACCCATAAGGTTCTCTTTCAGAGGGAGCTGTTGATGGAGCCCTCCGCAGTACCCCAGTTTCCCATACGACCCTGTGGAAGCCCCGCGAAACTCCTGCAGGACGCTTTTAGCTATGCGGCGGCCATCAGCGCTTGCGAGCGCACCTCCCAATGGGAGCTCGGCCATGGCTTTTTGCGGTCCGCTTTGCACGCCAGGCCCATGGAAGAAGAAACAAGTTGGTTCCTGAACACTGTTTGATGTCCTTCTAGTTTTATTTCATCCAAGAGGTTCGCCAATTTCAGCCATGTTCAAGGGGACTCCTCGAATAGGCACAGTCACAGTCCATCACCTCAACTCAACGTGCTCAATGCGGTCGAAACTTGGAACCTGTCGACGGAATCCAAAGTGTAGACAACGAGGACCGGTCCTGGGACCGGTCCTGGGACCGGTCCTGGGGACCGGTCCTGGGACACATCCTGACCTGACACCCCTGAAAAACCGGTCCTGGAACTCGTCTGAAAACTGGAAATCGATTTATCATTCCCAGAGTTTTTGAGGTTCCTGGGAGATGGTTTCATAGCTCAGGGTTTATTGGTCCTTGGCAGGGTTTCTAGGTGGTTCTCGGTTGTTTTGAATTACCTAGCCTGTCCTCACCTTGATGAAGGTTCCTACCAGGTTCCATTCATGGCCTGTCTCGGGCTTCAGGGCGTCCACAACGGGTCCCCGGACCCGTGTTCTCGCCCGTTTCCAAGGAATGTGGGACTCCCCTGTACCAACACATATATATATATATATATGTACATGATATATATATATATATATATACATACACATATGTACATATATATATATATATACAGATATTTGGTGGTCACTGCTTGGAAAGTTCATTCCCGGAATTCCAAGCAAAGCAGGCTGGCAGACACGCATTGCGTCAACGCCGCCCTGGGCGGCGCGCCCTGGCCAGTGGCCTTGCGGCTCTTTAGGCAGATGCCGGCGCTGCGGCTCCCCCCCAATGCCCCGAGCGCCTCGGCTCTGCCGAGCCCCTCGCGCCGGAGTCGCAGGCGACGCGAAGAGAAGTCGGTTGGTGGCACATTCCGAGGATTCGAAGCTCAGCAACAGGTGACTTGTTCACTGACCCAGTTTGGGCCTGTTTCAAAATGCCTGAATTGGTCCCTCTTTCGATTCAATCTGCGCAAAGAATGCCGTCGATGCTTCCCGTGTCCAATCAACGTTTGGTGTACAGTGTTGGGTCTGGTTTCGAGTCTAGGGTGTGGTTGCAGGCTGAGGGTTTCGAATTTTGAGCTTCGGGTTTAGTTTGCGGTTTCAGGCTCAATGCTTTGGTTTAAACATCGGCCGTGCTGGAGCCCGCAGGCTGATGTTAATTCCAAGAGATGATTACATAACAGCCTCACGGACCGGGCGTCTGCGACTGCGTGATGAAGGTTCCTTTCATTTGAATTGTGTTGGGTTGTGTTGGTGACTCATTTGTGAATTGAGTTTTCGCTATAGCAAGTTGTTTGCTCATATGTGTATAACATGTGTATATATATATATATACATGTATATATATATATACACATACATGTACATGTGTGTCATTGATTGTTGCAATATGTTAAGCATCATAGTTTGTTGTTTGTGCTCATATTGTGTGTATTCCATATGTATGCGTTACTCATGATTGCAGCGTGTTTCATTCGAATTGAGACCTGAGGCTACAACGCGCTGCTGGCGGCCCTGGCGGCGCCAGGTCTCTGGCGCTTGGCGGGGCACCTGCTGGCGGCCGCCGCCGGGGTGGCAGACAAGGCGCGCAGTGGTCGGGGGGTGAGTTGGTTGGGTTGTCGTTGGTAGGGGACCTGGCCATAAATAAAACAAAACACACACACACAAACACACCTGAGTGTGTCTTAAAGTAGGGGAAGCCTACAAACATCTTGGCTTTCCCTTTAGTTTCTGTGTAAAGCCACCTCCAAAAAGGGTGCTCCTCTCACTTGTGAACCGAAAGCGGTAGGGGGGGAAGGGTCCAGGATGCAACTGGCTCACCAGTGGATTGAAGACCTTGGGTCAGGGTGCATAGTCTCAGCCGCGGCACCTCCGGCGAAGGTGACCTGGAACTGCACCATCAGCGTCTGCGAGAAGGCCGCGGGAGCTTTGGGCCGGAGCTTTGGTGGACTCGGGCTGAAGCGATTGAAGTTGTTCAAAAACTCGTTGCCAAAGCAGAGAAATGACAGTGAACCTTGTTGGATACATCATCATTAGCACGTGATGTCGTTGGGTATTTCCTTGTGTTGCATCCGTGAGCACTTCGGAAAGGAGAATGTGTTGGACCACGCTCTATTTTGGTTGCACATGCTTTTTGCATCCCCCCCTTGGGCAAGATGCCCTCCAAAAGACAGGCTGTTCATACCTCTGTCCCGAGCGGGGTTTGTACTATGTGGGTTGACTGGCAAGCCATTGGGTAGGAGCAAGGTGTATGTGCAATCGCAGGTGTCCACCGGTTGCCGAGGATTTGTTTGAAACGTTGGGGGAGTATGTTTCTAGAAGGGCCGAAGCTTTGTTGACTTGGGCGCTAGAAATCGTGGTTTCCCCACAACTTCCATCATTGATGGCGCTTGAAACCACAGTTTCTGGGCGCAGCCCCGCACTCTAGTTGAAGTATTGCGTGTTCTGGGTTGAGTCTGAATCAAGGTGAATGTATGGGCAATAGAATTAATGTTGTCAGTTCGAGGTCCGGATGTATACTTTCACATGTAACTGGTGACCAAACTGACACACACACACACACAAAAGAGCTTTAAAACTTGTTACATAGTACAGAGTTTTGACAGCGACATCGAATCAAAGTCTTATACCGGATTCTAGCCACGATGCTTTTCCAGCCCCCTTGCATCATGGTCTTGCTTGGGTGTTTGAGGGTGTCCATCCGTGGAAAGCCCAGGATTTGGGGATACCGCCCTAACGGCGGCCTTGGGTCAATTTGGGCATCCATTTTCTGAGGGCCATTGCCTGAGGCCGCGCAGTGGCAAAGGGCCGTAAAGCTGCTGGAGGGCATGGACGCTTGGCAAAAGGCGGCAAAATCGGCGCCAGAGAACCGATGGGTTTGTTTGAATCTTGTTTGCAACCCATCGCGCCATAAGGGCATATGGTGGTGGGCGCGGTTGCAGCTCGCCTGGTTTAGGCATACCTAAAGGAGCAACAGGATGAGCGGTCCCAAAGAATATTGTACGATTCTTGTCCCTGCGTGCATCGTCGTTGATATGGCTAGCGTGATTTGTTTCGTGCGCCCCTGTCAAAAAACATATTCGCTCACTGTTTATTGTTAGTAGCACAAAATTGCTATTTGTATGTTTACTAATAGTGTTGTTATCATTATGACTAGTATCATTTTTTTATGGTGCTTGCTATTATTATTATTATTGTTATTATTATTATTGTTATTGTTATTAAAATATTATTACTATTATTATTACTATTATTATTGTTGTTGTTATTATCATTAGTATTATGATGCTTATTGTTTTTGTTATTATTATTATTTATTATCATTATGATTATTATTATTACTATTATTATTATTGCTATTGTTTTTTTATTGATTGTTATTATTATGTATTTTCATTATTATTATTACTATTATGATTATTATTTTTATGATTATGTTTAGTGTTATTTGTTACTGCTGAGTACTGTTCTTTGATGCTGCCGCTCTGGAAAACAATGCTTGCGTGGCCCTTTGCCTTGTCTTGACTGGCTTCACCCCGCTTTGCCTGTTGGCTTCCCGTAGGATTGCTGATATTTACATCATATCGGGGACATGGGAGCCCTGAACCAAGCCTCGCTTAGTGTCTATTGCTAACAAGGCATGTGAGCTGGTGAGCCCATTCAGCGCCTGGGATTCTGGCTGAATCCCGGTGCCTGGGCTTTCGTGAGCATCACTGTTGCCAAAAACTATGGTGGTCCTTGGGAATCTACTTCCTTTCAGGGTGTCTTCTGCTTTCCAAGGAAGAGAAGACGCTTCAGCTTCAGACCATCACCTACAACGCCATCATAAGCGCATGCCACAAGGGTCAGAACTGGCAACTTGCTCTGCGCTTCTTCGCTTCCATGCATCAGAAGCAGCTCTTTCGGACTGTCATCAGTCGCTGGGCTGGCAAGTGAGTTGGCATGAGCAGTGTGCAGGTGCTCATGCGCTTTATGCTGCTTTTGTCTAGAATGCTTGACCAACAGTCTATGAATGGAGAATGCAAGAGCTCTAGTCAAGCTCTAGTCAATCTTCGGCCAGTGTTTCTTGTCAAGGGATGGCGTCGCGGCACGCTGACCAAAGTGGCATTGGAGCACTTTGGTTGCTTGTTTCCACATGTCGAGCAAGACTGACGGCGTCTCCGCAAACTGGTGATCCCCCAGTTGATTGAGGTGGTTCACGCTGTCGGGTTGTCAAAACAATGGATCCGTTTTCGTTCGATGGTGACGACGTGACTGTGCCACGGGATTGGACATACATCAGCATCTCCTAGAACCATGTCATACTTTTGACTTTCAGTGCATCGCCCCGGTCAAACGTGGAAGGCTTTTCGACAATTTTCATTCGCCCACTGTGCGCCGGCTCCTGGGCTGCTGAACCATGCAGTGCCACTTCTTTCCATTTGCTTTACCATTATTCCAGTCTTGGTGGCATCAACAAGTCAAGAAGCTTTGTAAAGCGGCCACAGAGAAACCAACACCAACACGTTTGGACCGGTTTTTATGTCTCCTTTCCTTGCTTTGTCCGCAGAGAAGGCAATGCATGTGCGGCATTGGGGATTCACTCCCTCCGGAAAACTGTTTTTACAGTGCAGCTTGTGATCAGTCTGTTCCAGCACACTTGTCCCTTGGCGATAATTAGCCTACTTACAAGCCGGGTGATTGTTCAAGAAGGAGAACTGGGCTGATGAAGAATGATACATGGGTTTGGCTGCCAGCATCAAGTAGCATGTGCATGTGCAACGCAGAACGGCTCATGGGTCTCTTCGCAGCTAAGGCTACAGTTCAGCCATCAGCTCCTGCGAAAAGGGTAGGCAGGCGCCAAACGCATCAGCGTGGCGTTTTTTGCGTGTTTGTGTGTCTGTGTGTCTGTGTGTTTGTGTCCGCGTGTGGCATGTGGCAGCTGGAGAAGTTGGAAACACGAAAGACACGCCGCCTTGTCTTGCCAATCCAGCTTTCTCTACGGCAGCCTGCTGAACAGATCTAAAAGGCAAACTCTCTAAAAGCTGCCTTTCTGCTTCATAGCGAGATCCCTTCGTTTTGGACCCCATTTTGTCCTAGGTTTGATTGGGGTTTGATGCGGGGGGGTGGTTGGTCGGTCGATGGGTAGGTCGGTTATTCGCCTTTTCTGAAATTATGCGTACACGGCAGCAAAACGACGCCCCGGCAAAGTTGCCACGCCTTATCTTACATGTTCCAAGTTTTTCCTGCTCCGTGCTGCTACTCCCACGGCTTGGGGCAGTGTTGTGCAAAGGGCTGCGAGCCTGGCAGGAGAGAAGTTGTGCCTTGCGGCTTGTGCTCCAGCGTTGTTGTACGGTTTTTCTACCTGAGAAGTTGTAACAGGGAGATTGGATTGAATCCCTCATCAAGCCATGCTTCCAGGCCAGTGAATGAGTGTTCATCTCCATTTCGTTGTCCCCCCCGGTCGTCTGGAGGCAATGGCAGCTGGCATTGCAGTTGCTGCACGTCATGCCCTTCAAGCAGGTCACACCCAACACCTTCAGTGCCAAAGCTGCAAGCAAGCAAGAAAGCAAGGAAGCAGCGACGACTGGGCCGCTTAAAGGACACAACGTATACCAACTTGAAGTCACTACCGATATGGGAGGTTCCAATTGGGCTGCACAACGCAGTGTGCGTGTAGAGGCTGAAAGCTGTTGCAGAGAATTTTAGCTCATTGACAAAATTGTTTGTGGAGTGAGGTGCAAGCATTTTGAAAGAGGAAAGGCTGCGGACGTACATGTCTCAACCAATGACCATATTTTGCCACGAGGAAGTTGTTGGTGATGTTCTACTTTGGCGGCCTGTGCAAATCACGGCGCCAAATGCTAAGCACACCCGTTTAAGTGTATTTGTTCAGCACTGTATCTATGCCGGCCAAATGGTAAGCACACCCGCTCAAGTGCATCTGCTCAGCACTGTATCCACGCCTGCCGAATAATACGCACACCCGCTCAAGTGCACCCGCTCAGCAGTTTATCCGCCTGCCTTTTGGGGCGGTGGAAAGCAATGAGTTCAGACACAAGTATGGATGCTAGCGTTCAAGACAGCCATTCTAAACATTTCCAGTGGGTTTTACTTACCGCTAGGTACTCGGAAAGGACCGGGGAAAAACCCAGAAGCACCCAAGTACTTTTCTTTTTCAACCAAAGGGGCGCGGGTAGAGGTGCAGAACGAGCTCCGGTTTGCTTACTCTGCGGTAGCTGCGGAAGCACTGGGAACGGATTCAAAAAGGATTCGATGTCTAAAAAATGAGCCTGTTCAACCATAACGCAGGAAAATGCGGGGCTTTGAGTTTCGTTATTGGCCTTGTGACTGAGAATCAGCACAGGCCAGGTCCACCGCACCGCACCTAGTTGCTCGGTCAGATCTTGTTGTTTCGGTCACATCTCATTGCATAGAACCAAGGGGTGGCGGCAAAACGCAGCAACATATGTTTGTTCCTGTTGCTGTATGTTCGAAGCTTGCCAACGGAATTCCAATGTACGCACAGAAGGGTTCCAGGCTAGGCGGGTTCTTGGGAGCTTTGAGGCCCCAAGCACCGAGGCCTTGATCAAAAACAACAAAAAAGCAATGACCCGGAGACGTACGCTATCCGCTATCCACAACTCGCCAGCCCTGTCGTTGGAACATGCTTGCTAATCCCGCCCCTGGATTTTTTCTTTGCACATGGTTATGTCCAGGTCCTTTGGACACCCAAATCATCAACACCCAGCGGCAGGCTGTTTCCGGACATTCAGGTTTCAATGCAGCCATTAGCGCCTGCGGCGGGTCTACGCAGCTGGTGCGCGCGATGGGACTCCTTGCGGCGATGGACAAGCCCGATGTGGTGAGCCACTCGCAGATAAGATGTGTCCCTACAATAGCACGAGTGGCCTTTCTTGGGCGATGACATGTGTAATGTGGCTGGGCAGTCGCATGGCTGGCGAGCAGACACAATCTGATGCGCAGCAGTCGACCATGGTGACCTGCAAATCCAGCTGTATTTTTACAATAGGTATATGCAGGAAAGAACACTGCCGCCAGATGACCGCATTTCTGGAGCTCGGTTTGCGATAGTTGCACGTTGGACCAGGGCTGAACGCCCCCATCATAGCAAAGACCTCCTCACTCGCTGGTTCGACTTTGGAAACCAAGTACGAGATCTGACCAACCACCCCCTACAGGCTTTTGTTTTCCCGGAGCTAGCCGAGGCTACAGCTCGGTCATCAGTGCCTGCGAGTGTGCCGCGGAATGGCAGCTCTCCCTCCACTTCTTCCAGGCAAGGCTTGGTGGCCAAGGCTTTGGTTTGACCGTCGGGGTCACTAGACCCTCCGTTTGCGTACACCCAACTCTTCAGGTATAGGGGTTTCACCAGTGACCGGTGAGGCCCCACAGCCCGACTCCATGCTGATAGATCCAAACATCAACGGCAAAAATGACAGTCTCCGGAAGTGGAGGGATTGGGGGTGGGCTTTCCTTTCTTGCGGGTCGCAGAACACCTTTGTATTTCTGCAAAGACTGATTGGAAGTAAAGAGCTTCTACTTGTGAGTCTTTCTACTTTTCCAGGGGGTCTGAGTTTCTTTCGATTGCTGAGAGGTTTTGCAGGCAAGCTTTGATTTGGGGCGGTTTGCTCAAAAAGCTGATTTTCACGGGCCTTCGGTCAAACTCGGTTGTTGCTGGAACGACCCTGCTTTACCCTTTTCACAGTTCTTATTTTGCGCTGGGCGTGACGGGGTTGTGTCGGCAGCTGACCCGTCGTCCGATTCCACCGCCACCCGCCGGGCAGGCCATGCGGCTCCACACTTTGGCCCCCAACGTGGTGAGCTATAGCTCCACCATCAGCGCCCTGGAGGGCCCCTCGATCCAACGCAGCGAGCCTCTCTCTGGTTTCAACCCAAGCTGTTGTTGTTCTTGACACCAGCCCTTTGTTTTGGGAATGAACACCTGGCATCCCCTCAATTGCTTGATGCCAAACATTATCCAAGTGCAAAGCCAGGGGTCGCAGCCCCTGCTTTAGCAGACTTCCACTGTTTTTTCAGGGTCATCTGATGATCACGTACCTCTGAAGGGAGATACTTTTGGAACCAGCAATTTGCCATTCCAGGTGAGGTTGTTTCGAGATGTAGATAGATACTCGTGACGCGTATCAATATTTGCATCTGTAAAGTGGGTTTGTACAGTATGGAAACAGCGGGCGTAAATTGTCACACAAGCGTTCACTGATTGTTTCTCAGTTCCTGGGGTGACATTAGGTGGCAGTGTACACGAGCAATGCAAGTAATGGTTTGCTAACGTGAAGTGACACTGGCTACGAAAATTCCCGCAGAACATGTCGCACGTCTCACAATGATGCATCGTTGCAACATCTTGGTGAATCAGATGCACTGTGAAAATAATCGTTCTTGTGCGATGATGCAATGGTTCCTTAGACGAAAGACATCCTTGCGATGCTCGATACCCCGAACCATGCGCCCGGCGGTCGTCAGCCTAAACCGTGCACCTGCACTATTCTCGAAATGCATGCGAACCCTACCCATCCACCAATCCAAGCCGGGATGCTTGGGCACTGAGAGCAAGCCCTTTTGCAATGGTTAGTCTACGTCGATTGGCTAATCAGCGCTGCAGCATGGTCCCTGCGGCCCACTGGAAATCGCGTGCTCGTCTCGTTAATCTGCGGGGCGGATGGAGTCGTTGGTCGCCTTTCAACCTGAGGGCATGCAGAGCCCAGGTGCATCTGAGTGGCAGAGGGGCTTGCACCTCTTCCAGTCGATGGCGGATGAGCACCTCGGATGAGGACCTCTGTGCGCAGCAAATCATGCAAGTTCCAGGGAGTTTCTCATGGAATGCCACTCGTCAGTGGCCTTGTGTTCTTCAAACAAGGATCCCTGGAATGACAAAAAGGCCTGCATGCAGTTGTTGCAGCAAGCGCGGGAGCTGTTCACCCGTTATCCACCAGATGGATGTTGCCTAAACATGCCTAAACCAGGGAACCCCCAGAAACGTGTGATTTTGTGTTGGTTTCTCTATTGACACCATCTACGAGCTTAATTCTAGGAACACCCAGATTGTTCATGGAGCATTCGGGGTGCTGCGAAAGATTCACTCGTGCTTTGAGAGGATGGGCTGGCCGGTTGTTTTGGGATGTAGCGCCGGAATGTAAGCAACCCTGGTGCAATTTCGCTCAGAGCCTTGTGTCAAGTTGCTGAACGAGAACATCCACGGAGTCATAGCATCAGAGCGGCCTCTGGCTCAAGGTCAAACATGCAAAACTGACACCGAGCGTTGCCTTGTCGCTGGTTTTTTTTTTCTGATTTTAGGGAGCTTTCGGGGGGGGAGGGGGGGTGGCCCTGATTTGTAGTCACTTTGCGCCTCATACTCAACCTAGGAGATGCACCTTGTGAATGCATCACATGCTTCAAGCCATATGCCTGCGCCATGTTCTGGAGTTGAGGATCAATGGGGAGGTTTCAAGAGTCACTCATGGGGCTCGGGGGATTCAAACTACTTTGCCGGACTTGAACCAGGGCCGAACTGCGCGTTTGCTTGATGATCATTGACATGTATGTTTGCCATAAAAAGAAAGAAAGTGTATTTACATTATTTTCCGAGTTGTCCGAGTTACCACCCTTCTGCTTCAACTGGCGTTGACGAGTTGAACAAATGGATGCAAAGACCTTCTTGTTTGGGGTGACTGGGGACAGTGATTGGCCCCTCAGTAGGCCGTTAGAACAGCCTCAAAGGGTTTCCACCCAGGCGACTATGACGGTAAGCCACGAAAGTGTGTTTTCTTGGACCACGGCACGTATGCATAAGCTCGCTACTGCTTCGTCAGAGCGTTTATTTTTTTACGGGTTGTCAGTTTCAGGTGTCCCCTTCCAATGGGAACACGTTAGGCGAATCCAGGGGGACCTCATCAGCTACAATGCCACGCTGGCCTGCCTTCAGCGGGGTCGGCGCTGGCACAGAGCCTTGGACCTCTACGACGACATGCAGAAGCACCAGGCGAACCTGACTCGGCGATTGGAATTCGGTTTCTTGGGTCCATCAAATGAACATCAATCAATCAAGACATAGGGTTTCTTGTTTCTTATTGCCTTCGCCTCAAGCGACTTGACCGAACATGTGGAATGTGGCTCTTTCCAGGTTCAGCAAGAACACAACCTTTTGAGCAGCGCCACTACATAGTTTTAAAACGCGGCCATTTGTTTGTGTTCATTGTTTTTTGAATTGTCATCCACTCACCCAACCGCACTACTATTTGGCTGCGCGAGTCAATACAAGAAAGTCCCGTTTGCGACAAGGGAAGCAAGCATTGGAGGGGTCAACATCCCTTTGTGGGGAATAAGTGGACGTTGAGGGCTTGGATATGTATGTTTTAGGATATGTCCGGAGGGGATCAAAAGGCCGACGGTGATGTGGGTTTTTCGGGCCGATGTAGCACGGAGCCAATCGATTTGTCCGACCCCAGTTCAGCGACCCCAGTCTTGTTGGATAGGTTTCCTATCATTTGCGGTGGGTGTTGTTTTCCGAACATGCATCTCAAAGGGTCAGGAGATCTCATTCGATTTCGAGATTCCCCTCGGAAAGGGGGTCCTGCACCCAATTGGCCAGACCAAGGAGCTTAATTGAAAATCATATGCAGACTTGAATTCGGGTCCAATTTGCTTCTTGGGTCCAGGGAGTAGAAATGGAAGCAACTAGACCATCGACCTGAAAGGGAAAATCTTGAGAGATCATGTTGAACCACTGATTGAGATAGGTGCTTGGTGCTCCACCTTGCCCCCAGGTGTGCCCGGATGCGATTAGCAACAGCAGCGTGCTGAACAGCCTGGAGGACTCACGCCCGCTCGCTTGCAAGTGAGCCGAGGGAAGAGCGTCAAAGCAAGATTGGTTCTGGTTGGTGAGATGGCCGATCAGGGAACCAACATGAAACCTCTTAAAACCAGTGCCGGGTTCTTGAATAAATATATAATCAAACGCATACAGCATACTAATACAAAATGTGGGTACATGAGGGATGGCGTTTGAGACAAGGGCCATGGCTCTGAGGCACTGAAGATTCTCTTGGAGGGCGTGAGACACGAGGTTGGCTCCGGCCAGGGCACTGCGGTTGCCCTCATTTTGTATCCCAAGCTTTCCGTTTGTTTTTGCGACATTTTGAATTTGCCTCCTTGCTTTGGCCGCACTTGTTTAGAGAAAATGGGGCTGGTTTCAGAGATTTGTGTATGAAACAGCGGGAAGGCAAACACGAAACATGTGGCGTTGGAAGATGCTGAAAGCCAAGCCCGAAAGTGAGAAAGTTGAATCTAGACCCTTCACCCATGAACCAACAATCCTCACACTAAAACGAAGACAATTTGCGGGCTACGGGATGTTTGGAGAGCTGGACATCACTCTAGACCTGTCCAGGTTTGCACTGATCCAAAACCGTCGCACAAGTCGTACGCCAGGCTGCTAATTAGTGGGAACGGTTGCGCCCGCACCTACTCAACGTTGGATATGGCCATAACCACACTTTAGAGGGCGGATCCAGCAGGGCGTGATCACGTAGTTCGCATTTTCGATTATGGACCACTGTGCACGTTTTTGGGATATGTATATATTTCTATACACGTACGTTGTGCATAAGGGAGTTGATCTAAAGTCCTGTACGGAGCGTAGATACAGTCAGGTCAAAACGGTCAAAAGGACACATCACTATCAAGGCCCTACTGCAAGGAATCAACCTGTGGCTGTTGGGCAACTAAGCTCATTCATTGTGGAGAAATGCCATGAGGGCTGTTCTTCATGGGGAAGACCTGCCCTTGGTTCCGCACCAGTCGTAGCTTCACCAGGTTCCCTAAAATCCCCCAAACAGGGATCCTTAAAACAATGAAACGAGGGTCAAGGGCATACTGTCTTCACCTGCATAGGGCCCGTTCAGGAGCAGCTGGGTCCGGAGGGTGAGGACGCATATTCCATTCGGCTCTGGCTGGAGGCTTGGCACAAAGCTGCAGCACCACCTTGCACCGAATAACAGGCAAGTGCAGAGGGGGAGGCCCAAAAACCAGAAACAAAACATGGTGTGCAGTGAGTTGATACATTCCGGCAACATTTTAAACAGCACAACTCCTCCATTTTGGGCCCACCCAGTACTTAGTGGGCGCAGCTAGATTGCCATTTCCAAGGTTCGGCAAGCCTGGGGTTTGCTCAAAGGGGTCGCCTGCTACCGTGGTTGCTCATGTTCCCGCTTGGGCTCGGACTTTTGGGTTCGCATGCTTCGCTTAAGAGACCAAGCCATGGTAGTGCGGCGTAACCGCAGTTTACCGGCCACATCCAGTTCATCTAACACTGTGTAAGTGTGTATGTATAGAATTACATGAAATGTAGTCTTCAAAGCAGGACTGGACCAACTTCGATCGTGTGGTTGTGTATTGAGATGTCGATCCTGCGAACACCTAAAGGGGCCCGATCGGGCCCGATCGGCCATCTCCCAATGGCTGGGTGCAGGTCTCACATCTAACAGTTTCCACCCGCTAGTGAGCCACCCATGCACCCAGATGGCTTCCATGTCAACCGCGCTAAGGAGTTGGGCCTTTCCTCCCGCGGTGTGCCGGCGCAGATCCTGGCTGCACTCTTTCGAAGGGCTCTCAGGGAAAAAGGATCGCGGCATGTTGCCCACCGAAGGGGATTGGCCGAACCTTTGATGGGGCCACGTATTTGCTGATGCCCAATGCAAGCGGCGGGAAACATCTGCATGTTCATCTTGATGATATTGCCAGGCAGAGTGACCTGTACCAAAATGGCAATCGGTATGTACATGTGTATACTGTATACATGCAGTGTATGGATTGAGTTGACCACGTCTAGTCCCAATGAGCTGGTGAAGACACCAGCTCGCAACTAGGGGTGTTTAGTCAAGCTGAATTTGGATCTCTCGCATGGCTGTGCACCTTTACCTACCTGCTGAATTGCGGATATGGCTTTGGGCTCAGGTTTCCCGCTTGTAGTGAAGTGCCACAAGGGCTTTTTTGACCTGTCAACTCAGAGCCAGTTTGTTGCCTTCTAGCTTTTGACTTCAAGAAACGACTACCAACTAAAGGGTTACCTTTTGGGGAATGCCAAAAACGTAACCCGTGCTAATTATTGGTTCATACCTCCAAGAAGGGTCCTCATCCCAAACCGGGAGTTTGCACGGATCTTGTGGTTCTGGGTGTAACGTCAGTTTTCTGGGAAGTTGAGCTGCTGCTTTCGAGTTGCCGAGAGAAAAGCTCGCTGTGCCAGCCGCGGGCGCCTGAGCGAGTCGCATCGGCGACACCTGCTGGGGAGGACCGGGCGTGTTTGCTCAGGAGGGGTATACCGTTCAATTTTCGGTAACAGTTTCTCACATCACAAGTTTTGGGAGGAGGATTCCGGAGGAAAAGCGCTGGTTTGGGACAGTCCTAAGAAAATTCCTGGACCCTTTTGGGGCTTTACGAGTTGGGCTTGCACGGTGTTCTCACTTGTACATCAGCCAGCCCTTTTCTCCGCTAACCCCAGAGCAAATGAGGTTTGACCGGCAAAGTGCCAGGAGAATGTTATCGTTGGCGACCTTGCTCGGATGGTGGGCGTCCACGGGAAGACTCAGGAGGCCTGTCAGCGAGATGTCTTCGATGTTACGGTACGTCCTTCGCAACCTTCTACAACTCACATTGCCGCCACTAAAAATGCTGCTTGACGTGATGATGAAACAACCGCAAGTTCACATTTAGTATTCCTTTGGAGCCCAGAATGCCCAAGATTCAGTGAGATTGTCGGTCAAGAATCGTGCCTTATTCAAGGCGAGCTGCACGGCAGCACAAGCGCTCCGACAGAAATGGCGCTCGATCTGGGTGTCCTTTTCCGGGTAAGGTGCAGGTTGCTTGCGAACCCATTGAGGGCTGAGACATCCTTTTGGATGGTAGTTCGGAGGCGCAAAGTTGGGGCCTGGAGCGGAACTGGCAGATTTTCCTGCCCAGAGGCTCCTGGGGGCAAGACCCGACCCCTCCATTGAACACCCCGCTGGTTGGGGGTCTCAAAGCCCGGTGGCTTGAAGGCCCATCAATCGAATGGGAGCCTCTAGGAAAGATTCAGCCAGCTGAGGTCTTCGGGCGCGAGGTGCCGCTCATCTACCTGATCGTGGCGCCTCAAAGCCCAGTCCCGTATGCCGTTTCGGCGATTGGTTTGTGGCAGACACCGAAAGGGAAACCGAAATCCATGTTGGGGGTTCCGACTGTGATGTTTGACAACCCAGATCAGTTGGGAAGTGAAGGGGTGACTTGGACGTTTGGGCAA